TTTTAGCACAATTCACCTGTCGAAATGTTCATTAAGACAAAGCACAGATTCCATGAAAACATCAAACTGCCCTGCAAATCACAATTTGCAAACAGTACTGTGTCTGATTGTTGGTATTCATGGTATTGATATAACACAATTTTGGAAAACACGTGAAGCTATTAAGTGCTTAAAAGTGCAATTGGCAGAGTAAATTTAAATTTAATCTGGACCAAGGCTGAACAACACTTTTAGTAAAGTTTGAGAAGTTGTGGGTGAATCATACTACAGGCATAATCATTGCATGTTTTTTTTTCCAGAGTATATCTGACCCCGGGAAGTTGGTTAGTGTCAGACTAGTTGCCGCTCAGTTTAATTTTCATTTCAAGTGCTTTTCTTCTGCCTCATAATCACGGAGCACTGATCTGTGCAGTTTTTAATTTCCTGTGAAAAACTGCTCATGCTTAAACAGTGTTAAGAGCTGTCAAGATTCTCATTAATTAGCAAGCAAGATAGATTGAATCTGTGAAAAAGACACCTTAACCTTATTCCTTTTATTCACAAAAAGGGTCTGATAAGGTGTGAATAAAATTAAAAATGGTTTAATTTGACCCAGCTATTCTAACAGAATCCTATTTAAAATGTTTTATTTAAACTGCATAATTTTACTGAAACTATGGTTTGAATATTAAATATCTTCCACACTTGCTGCATAACATTTTTGGAACCCCCCACCAAAGAGTATTAAGCTTGCGCAGAAAGCAAGAACACTTTGAACAACTGTAAGCACATGCATTAAATAAAAATATAGAATATTATCCGACAGAACAGTGCTTAAAACAGCAGAAAAAAAGACACTACAGTTAAAATGATTTTTAAATTTCTATTTATACATTTTAAGCAGGAAAATCAGACTCCCACTGCACAGCATAGCAGATTGAAGCTTTCTGGATTTTATAAACTGCAAGATCATGTATATGAACCAACAACAGATGCTGGATATTTCATGTTTGTTACATAATTGTGTGCAATCCAACTTAAGTAAGAAATTAAAAATGTATTTTCTGTCTCATTAGTACATTTTATACAAGCGTCGGCAGATCCTAATACCTCAGTGGAACTGCAAACAAAACCTTTTCTTTACATACATTGATTTTACTAAAATATAAAATAATCAGGTGATATTACTACAGCTATAACACAAACCTGCAAGTGAAAGAGGGACAGAGCCACTTATATGCAAAATAGACATCTGAATATGTGCACTGGAAAGACCTTGTCTACTTCCTTGGTTTAATAATTAATTCATAGTGACACTTTGTTTATAATAGGGGGTAGTTTTTAAGCTTCAGTATAGAAATAACCAGTGAGTTTCATACCCTACCAATGTGCAAAAATCTTTCAGCTACCATGTTCAGTGAACATTGTTGGTAATGTTGATGTTTAAATTTCATGTTCGTCAATCAGCATCCATAGATATTGTATAACTTGTATAAGCTTCTCTCTCACTCACGCACTATGTGTGTTCCTAGATGCTTATGCATACTGTAATTATAATTTGTGTATTATTTAAAATATTACATGTTTTAACTACACATAAAGTTGCATGCAAGATTTGGTCAGCACGTCAACATAAAGTATGCTTCTTTGGTGTAATCTATTGGTGACACTGGCAATAGTTTAGTTTTTACGTTTATCACTAGTTTATTTGGGAGTCATTATTTGCACCTATTTTTACAGCACGGATATTTTATGGAAGCTATTCAGGTGTACAACAACAGTGTCTCACATGGGATTACAAGTCCTGAACCCTATCCACCTGCTCTCAGTGCTGTCCTGTGTGTCTCTTTCTTTCAGCCTGGAGGCTGATCTGCAGATCTCTTCAGACAGATCTAAAAGCTTTGCAGAGATGCTGGGCAGTAATTTTTTCTTCCATATCACACAATGATCAAAGACCCCTATCCCCACTGCTCCAGATGTATACAGAGAAATAGTGGCAGACACCTTATTCCAGGGTGGTCTAACTTCAGTCCCTGGGAGGTGATGTGTCTGCAGACTTTTATTCTAACTTAGTTCTTAATTACCTACATCAGCTCATTATTGGTTTAACTGGACCAATTTACAGTCTTCCTCAAACTTTCTAGCTGCTGTTGCTTTGAAAAGACCTAGATAATGTGAAGACACAACAACCCTACAGGATCACAGCTGGACAGTGCTGCCACAGACTGTGTACAAACAGTAAATATGCACATCTACTGTATATATGCCTGAGAAATCAAATAAATTAGAAATTACTTAATTTACAGATTAATATAGATGAAGTCCCAGACATTTTCAGCTTTGTAAAATAACCATAGCAAATGCAAATTTCTTATTGAATATTAATTTGCACCTCTCGTATTTTGTGTGCATACTGTCCAAGTTGGAAGGGAAAGAAACTTTATTTTTTCTTATAAAAAAATGACAACTACTTTAGATAGACAGATATATAAGCATCTCGACAGACAGATTCTAAATGATTAATTTGCCAATAAAAACAGACATGCCTGTACTTCATTAGCAAAACAGTTTAGAGGCCAAGAGACATTAGAGAGCCAGTCTCAACTGCATTTAAATATATTGAGATGGAGAATCACAGAATTATTAATAAACAAAAAGCCGAACTGCCGAACCCTGTAAAACCCTGTATAAAGTATGGCAAATAATGTAGTCCCAATTACTTTCAATGCATCCTTCGTTTCCATCGGTATTGTACTGTATGTTCTCAATGGGTTTCAGCTTCTAATCGGAAACCATACGCGCAAGCTGAATATATATTGTCATACTTAACCTTCCATATAAGAAGACACTCCAAACTAAACTCACTTGACAGAAATTGCCTGCGATTATCCCTGTAACAGTGGTGAGGAATGTCCTTCCCAAACCCCTTTAGACTCTAAACAATACAATTTCTACTACAGAGATGATAAACCAGAGAAGGGATAAATCCTCATGACAACATCTGTAAAAATTAATTCAGGGGAGAATCCCCCCACCACAGCTGAGCACTGAGAAAAAAAGGTCACATAAAAACATCAACTTTTCTGACGACGGCGCTATACTTACAACAAGCAATTTGCCAGTATTTTCCAACAGTACACAGGCCGCTGTCCATGCCTTCTTTTGTAATAAAAGAGGTTATGGAAACGGTATTTATTATTCGGTTGTTAAAAACGCTTCATAAAAGAAAGCAAAATGCCTTAAAGCATCCTCTGTAATGTTATAATTTTCTGTTTGCTTTGAGTTACAAGCCTTAAAACTTTTCCTCAATCAACCAATCGCAACGGTCGATGTGCAGTTGAACTGCTAATATTTTCTGTCCCTGAAAGGTAAATTGAATTAATTAATCAATTTTTGTAGTTGTGAAGTAATTTCAGGATTTCACTAAACAGATATTTTGGCATTAAATTCGTGGAACTCTTATTTATTGCAAAGTTTCTATTTAAAATATTCAGTATTGTTGATAGTGTGTGCGTACAAGCTGCAGGCATTAACAACACTCCCAACTTCAATTCTCTCCATATAAAGAAGCAGTAGATTCATATGTACTGTATGTTAAACGAGTTTAAATTAGGCGTTATAAATATTTCAAGTTAAGGAAGAGAACAGATGTAAAGAAAGAGTGCAGTCACATATATGGCAGAGAACATGGTTTGATTACTAGCCATCCAACAGAAGTGTAGAGAGTTTTTACTTAATCAGGAATCAGTAATTTACTTATAATTAGATAATTGCTTTCTACTGTAAAAGGTGCTATCAAATCCCCTCAAATTGCCATATTCTAAAATGTAAAATGATTTTAACATGAAAACCTTTTACGTTCACCATCAATTTGATTTATGTGTTAGGAATCTAAATGATATTTTTGCTTTATACAGATAGAGGTAATTGAGAAATGCGGCACACTAGTTACACATCAAATATCTGAAAATAAGATCAAGGGTAAAAATAATCAGTCAGTAGACTGCTGTCTGATTTTTAGAAGAATCAGAAATAGACTAAATCAAATCTCTGTTTTGATTTCCAAGTTCCTTTTCTTATTGTTTACAAAATAAACTGCTAGAGCAAACCAATAAACTAATATTAATAATAAATCCGACATTATTTTTAACCCTGAAGTTAAATCTTGCCGATACTTAAATGTACCTGTCGATTTGCAGGTTTTTATTTAATTAATGATTTTCTCACCGTACTCTCTGCCACTGAAAGCTTCGCAATAGCGAAGTTCGTAAGCCTTCCACAGGTGAATCTCGAGCTGCGAGGCGTCCTTATTACTGTCTGTTCATCTTTTTCCAGTGACACTGGCACGTATTGACTGAAAGTTCAGTTCTACACCCTCGAGTCCTCAGTGGTGTCAGGAAAGTACGACATCCACAGATCTATTATCCAGTTAAAAAACAGTGACAAGTCACTTTACACTTACCTGCAAAAAGCAGATACTTAATGGCTTTGTAAGGATGAACCTTACAAAGACCCCTTCTGACAGCACTAATTATCTTGCAGTCACAAACACTGAGTTTTTAGAAGTATAGAAGTATCTCACAACGTATTCAACATTTATAACGATTTTATGTAACATTATCTCAACCTCAGCAGCTTTAACTTTAGCAGCAGTACTATAATAAACATATAAAACCTGTTTAGAAAAACATTAGTTTTCTTCACTCGTAGTGCTTTTCAGTGATGTTACAGGGGGTGGGAGGTGGGGGGATTTTTATTTGCGAGAACCTCTTCTGATGTAGACCGGATCGTGAAAACAAACACCCTTCCGATTAAACCTTTCCATTGTACTGTTTTTCACCGCCACCCATCGAAACTCACAACTCAGATATTATTTAACGAGTACGTCTTTAATGTGTAAACCTCAGGCTACAAATACACAGGCAGCGTTTCGTGTGTTGGCATTGATAACTGGCAAACTAATACGGAGAAGCACGACCCCGTTAAAGGCAAAAAAAAAATTGGAAAGCAAAAGGGCGCACCTGTACCAGTCGAGTCCTTTCTCGTAGTTCCTGTCAAAGAAATGAGGCTCAACCCCGACTGCCCTTACGTCAGGATGCACCCTTAAAGCTTCCAAAAGAGCTCTGGTACCTCCTTTCTTCACCCCAATTATGATGGCTTGGGGTAATTTTTTTTCTCCATAATCCGGGGTGCTATTCCCCGATCTGATGAGCTCCTCGTCCGTAGTGCTGGATTCTTGGTGCTCTTTCTCGAAAACGGCATGCTGGCCCCGGGAGCTCATTTCAGTAGGAGCAAGCTGAGTCCTGACCCACTCGGTTGCGCTTTGTTCGATTCCAGCATCACCCGTCCGGTCCGAAGCGTAGAAGGCATCGCCTGCCGGGGTCTGTTCGGTCGCCGTTCTTCCCGTCACATCACCTCCAAGATAGCCCCGTGATGTGGTGGAGTAAAGTTTCTCTCTTAATGCCGTGAAAGTTGTTTCCTCAGTCACCAGCCTCGCTTGGTACAAGTAGTTTTCCTGCAAGGGGAACTGCAGCGAGTTGTAGCAGCTCATCAAGCTGTAGAACAGGTAGGTGACAGAGAGGGAGAGAGTGAACATGAACAGTATCTTCCGAGGCACTTTAGAGGTAAAAACTGAAGTACTGGACCAAAATGCCATCTCTGACAGCAGTGATCCTCACAGAGAGATGGCCAGACATGTTTTCACCTCCAGTCTCGCATGGACCCTCAACAATAATAATCTGTCACTATCAGCACTATAACTGCTGAAACTGCAAGTACCTGGACCGCTCACCTAAAAAAACACCAAGACGCACATCGGGCCAGATTGGACAAAAGATCGTTAAGATTCTAAAAGAATATCGCCACTCATTCTTGAATATCGATTTACTTCAATGCTGCCAGCCTTTGTCACAATTTACAGGGCTGGACCTTTAGATCGGAAAGGCTGTGATCTTTCCTTCCTCCAAATGAGCAGCTCGGAGTGCAGCGAGCAGAGCGTGATGGACGAAGTCTTGACATTTTTGAAGAGAAAATAACAGCAATTGCACAAAGTCTTGGAAGTAGTGCGATAGGGACGTCTTCATTCGCCGCACGTCCCCAGAGCTGCTGTCGGTCTGCCCCTTGTTACGCACAGAAGCTGCTCACAAAATGACCAAGCAAGAATCCAGAGTCTTAATGAAAATTTGATGGTGGAATTTCCATGAACCCAGGTCCGTTTGATAGCCGTAGTTCCTTTGATAATCTGCTAACTTTGTGCAGAGGAAAGTGTGCTGCTTCCATATAAATATTCATTGAGTGTCTCCACTAGTTGGGAGTGTTGCCTGCTGTCCTGACGCCCTTAGTTGATTGGTAGACAGGATACGCGCATCAGCAGTGCGAGCTCGTCAGAACACAACCGAATCAGTTCTAACACAGCGTTTTCGCTACGGGTTTCACTAGCTAGCGACGGAGTTCAGTTACCTTTTTTTGTCACATCTACAGATACAAATTTACTTTGATTAACTCCGAAGATGGTAACTGTGATTTTTTCCAAACGAGAAATTATTAATTATTTGCTTTTCGCAAGCTAGCTCGAGTGGGAAGAAATAGGAATAAGGAGCACAGTACCTCATGGTTTGGAATACTGAGCGCACAAGATTTTTATCAACTAGCTCAAATACTGTGTAGCATTTATTTTCTGGAGTCCTGCAGCGCGTCTGAAGCTGGGCGCCTTTCCAAACGTTCAACTAATGACGCTGGTCTTCCATACTTACATTTAATAGAGTATACACCTGCCATTTGAAATTCGACATCAAAAGTGATTTGATGCTGTTCTGAATGTCTACATACAAGCGAGGAACATGAGGACCACAGCTACTTCTAGTGGTTTGTGCACCTCGTAAAACCTCATTCCTCCTACAGTAAGTCCGTTAACATTGTGGATTGCAGGTGGACAGCAACGTTGATCTCTTAGATCAATAATAAAGATGAATGGTTCAATTTGCGTAACAAAGCTGACGAGTTTAACTCCAGGAGCAAAAGTGTTAGAATATGATCATTTTAAAACGTCTAAAATACAGCAGCAACAAACACACAACCACCACCACAACAGCAGCAACAATAATAATAATTCGACTTAAGGAGCTGTCTGTATTTTCAAACTTCTGAAAAGTTGAATACAGTACGTTGATGAATGCAGCTCACTGCTGCACTCTGCTGACCATATTTTAACAGGAAAGTGATACCCTTCCATGATATGGGCAATATTTAAACAAATAATTTTTGTTTGCGTTTCAGCAAATGTTGGAGAAAGGACAATGATTTTATTTTTTCCATTTTGTATACGAAAAAAACTCAAATAATTATTTAACAGAGAAACGTTTTTATTTACAGTATAATGATGTCAGCCTGAATAACATGTTATGTCAAGGATATCAGGTTTAGGTCAAAGTAATTTTTCATCCATTTAATTAGCTCCATGACGAGCAAGCTCCACACCTGCTAACATGTTAATGCGATTAGATCATTATAATACATGTTATAATAGAAAATTTCTGTAGTGAACAAGAAATTACACCATTAATTAGAATGCAACGACACATACAGCCTGCATTCAAAATTCAAATGTTCACACTGCATAGGAAAATGCTCGTTTCCCACAGATCGTCTACAGACATCACCAGTCTCCACAAGCATGTGCATCATGCTCCACATGACACTTGAGTCTAAACTATTGATGTCTTTCTGATTCTTTGTTCACTAATTATTTTGCAAAGACTGTATATTTAATGGCTTATTTACTCATGCTAGTGTCATACAAAACAGTAATGAACATATTAGTCTTTGCAGTATAAAATGAAAGCAGGTTGTGGGAAATTTTAGTGAAAACATACATAAGAACATAAGACGTAACAAACAAGATGTCATTCGGCCCATCTACTCCATTTCTAACTCATCTTGTGTAAATGAAGTCATTAAAATGATTTCAGCTTTCACCTACTATTAAAGAGCTTGCTGACATGCAGAAGAACAGAGCAAAGCTAAAAAATGAGGTGGGTTGAATTTCACCCACCCTGTTCCTCTGTTTACTAGTGTCTTAATTATCTGAGAACACCACCGTGGCATTTTTAAACCTTCATCATGACATCACCTGACAGAAACCATGGTCCAGTAGAAGAATAGGAGATAATTGGATTACAAATATTTCAGATCCTTGTATAAGGCATAGTACAGTATGTCCTCTTCGAGCCCTCTTTGGTGGAGGTTCTTAATATTTGTACCAGTGACAGTATGAATTATTTTCTTTTGCATTATTATTTAATGATCCATTCTGTTGGATAAAGCTTCTTCTGCAGCATTAATGACAAGCTCTTACCTTCAGTTCAAAATGTAACTGATTAAAACTGCTTCCTCTTAAAGTTTAATTGCCAAAGCTAAAAAAGACTAATAGTATTAATTTCTCAGATTTGCCTACAGAGAGCCATCTATGGCAAATCTAGCTAGGGTATTATTCAGCTTTTGAAAAATAAAACTCTTAGCACCACAGGCTTGGATGATGATCTAACACCTTGATTTAATTTACTTGATGTTTTTGTAAAATAAAAATGTTTTTGTTTAAAATAAAGCAAGTTCAGAGGCAGTATGAGTACTAATAATGTAAAAATGAAACCTCATATTGTCCAACCACTAGCAATCTATGAATAAATTAGATTCAATAGCATCACTAGAAGGTGTAAATTTTATAAGAACTCTTTACAGGGGTTGTTTATTTTTGTTTATAGTTTATAGTTGTTTATTCACTTTGGAGTCATTTATAATCACCTTTTTCATGTCTGCGTTACATGTATCTGTGATAATGAAAAACCATGCACGAATGCTTAAGAGCTCATTTTCACTGTTGAGCCTTTAGTCCTAATACCTACTATTTTTCATGTATTTTTTTGCAAATGGAATAATCATTTAAAGCAAATGAATTGCTCAGGTGAAAATGAAAAATTAGCTGGTCAAAAACAATCCTGGTAGATGAAATAGCCACCTTTACTGATCTTATGAAGAAGTTAGAAAATAGGTTTTTGATGGCTGTACAACATGATCTAGGCAAATGGCTCTTAATACATTCAAATGTGCTGGCGGCACTGACTTTCTGTCTGTTTCATGTTTGATTAAAACCCTCCTCATTGCATCTATTGTCACTGAAAGCCCCGAAAACTCTCCTTAAAGGATTTTATTTATTAAAATGATATTCCAACATCTTTTGGAGCGATACTAGTAAGAAATCAGGAATCCTTCATTGACAAGTCTGACCTTGCTTCACCTCTAACTGCTGGCAGAGTTGTCTCCTTCTAGTGCACACTCAACACCTTTCCAGGACGTTTGTTTTCAAATTCCTGCAAATCAGTTCTGAAACATATTACTGTGAATGACACTGAAGTTAATATCTGTAGGTGATCAAGCTGTAAAACTGACTAGGCAAAGGAAGCTCTACAGGTGTCATTATTCTGAATTGCCCTGAACCAGAATAACTAGTCAATGAGATCACTGGCTTGCCTACAGGTATGTCCAGGAACAAATCACAGGCACATGTCTTTTACAGATTAACTGTGCTTTATATGAAAAGACAAAAATGTCAGGTTTAATGATGACTTACAATTAAAATTAAACCCTTTTATCACATATAATTGATTATTACATTCAACCAGAAATGCACACACATTTCTCTTACTGCACTGGAGAGTTTGTAAAGCATACAAAAACATGGCTAATTTAATTACGGAACACAAATATGGAGAACCTAAGACAAAGACATGAAAGTCAAAGATAGGATGCTGGGTTTTAATCAAATTTATTGTCTATTTCTCATCCTGCTGTGGGTATTAGAAATGAAGAAAGTCCTTTCATGGATAAAGCTGCTTTTGTTGAGAGGACAAAAATAATTCTTCTAGAACAGATCTTCACAAACTCCTGCATGAGCACAGTTATATTTTCCACACAGGAATATAATACCACTTTGTCTACTATTCTCTTAAATCCCAAAGAGCAATTCTCTGCTTTTTATTAACATAGCTACCTGCTTAGATCATCCAGTTGTCATCATCGTGACCCTACAGTCAGCTGTTCAGTGAGGGGTGATTTGGGAAAATGAACTGAATTAAGCAGAAGCCATGTTCATTCCCCAGCTCTTGGGATAATAAATATACTTTTCTTTCTGCTTTCAGGTAGCTGAAATTGAGCTGGACACATCTTAAATATGCTTCAGTAGATCACCAGATAATGTTTGCAATGGATTTAAGAAATTGCTGTTTGTTTATCCATGTCAGACTGCTTGCAACTTTCTGGTTATAAAACATTGCTTTCTAAATGTCACACTGCTATGAAACTATATTTCCCAAAATAATACATTGTTTTCAAAATATAAGCATATATCTTTGTTGGTTTAAAAAACAGTAAAGATATGTGTTAACAAATACAAGCAGTTTTGATAAGGAAATATTCTCCATTTATTGTCTTAACTTCAGTTCAAACTTTAGGCAAACCACATCATGAAACAGAGGCTGCCTACAACAATCCCTTGAAAGAAACAATCACATTATATATTATTACATTATTATATTATTGTAAACTGAAACCTTACTTGGTACAGTTATATATGCAACATTGGGGGGTCTCTCGAAGGGCTCACAATTTGTGTGAGAGACAAATATGCAGGAGCTGAGGCAGATATCCTCTGGGGCCTTTGCTTATGTTGCTGAACTCTGATCCTAGCAGACAAAGCAGATGAAGTTTCTAATTTTCTGTTCTCTGTCAACCTGGGGCTTGATTGAAACAGCTAGCAAAAGAAATGTAAAAAATGTCCAGCTGAAAGTGAATAAAGGGAATCAAAACCTTCCTCCTCATTATCTTGTGTTCTTTCCTTGAGGATTTTCAGACTTCATTAGTGGGTTTGGACTCCCATTAGCAGGAAATGGCAAGATGCTAACAGCTGGCTATCCCAGTCTTAGAAGCCTATTTTTCTACTTACTTTAATTCTGACTGAAACTCCCTTGTTAGTGGTACAAAATTCATTCCCTTGCATGCATTAAATAACTTTTTTTCTAAGGAAGATAATGTTACTGCTGTAATTAAGTGGGACAGATAAGCAACACTGGCCTTCAATGAGCACAATACTGGCTTTGCTCCAATAAAAGGAAATACACAAACCAGAAGTGACAAAGGCATGCAGTGGGTTCTTGTTTCATTGCACATTAATGCAATCCCCACTTGAATGCTTAATAGATCCTCTGGGGTTAATGTGATGGGCCAACAAGAT